TGCTTATCGTAGAATCTTCCAGAAGTTTTTACAGAGGTAAGAGCAAGCCTGAAAAAATATGTTGGTCATAAAATAGCTTTAGAAAATGTGATTACGTAGATATTTTAGTAGCATTGCAGTCCAATACTTGAATTAGCTCTGGGGTTTTCCAGTTAAGTGAATTAACCTCAGGTGAGGGAGCTCAAATAAATTAGTCTCAGCGGAAATATTGCTGATGTGTTAATCTTGACCTCTCAGGAGTGCTAATTTTAGGGGTGATTTCCCAGGTGTGTTAATCTCAGCGCTAACTGAAACACACTTGTGTTTTGCTAGGTATGCCATTCTAACAGCAGAGACGTGGCCATGTTGGCGAGGTGCGGAACAGCAGGGCGTTTTGCACCTCTTGCGTTCTGTTAACATGGACACGGATCAGTACCAAATGGGCCGCACCAAAGTCTTCATCAAGAATCCAGAGTCGGTGAGGCTCAGAAATCTTTAAAAAGTCACAAAAATAAAAAATAAGACCTAGGACTCCTAAAAGAAGCCCATTAATAAACTGTTGGTCAAATCCAGACTTTCCCTTAAGTAACTTTTCTTGTTTCAACTCACATTTCTTTTAACTGTAGCTGTTTTTGCTGGAGGAGATGCGAGAGAGGAAGTTTGATACATTCGCCAGAACCATCCAGAAGGCATGGAGGAAATACATCGCCAGGAGGAAATATGAACAGATGCGGGAGGAGGGTGAGTGCAAGTTTACAAGCATACAAAACCTGGAGACTTCCTACAAAGGTAGCATCCTAACAGTCATAGAACTTCGTAAGTGACTGATTTGAAGCACTCTACATAGGCAGCAACTCACAAACAGTGTTCCTATTCATTTTGAAAGACTCTGCTGTTAGCATTTTAGCTAAGCTAACGGCAGTATCCTCTAATAAGCATAAAAGTACACTGCTGGGTACAATAATCTATTTTGCATTATACCCATCTATTTTAGGTGATAATTTTAGATGATTTAGTATTAAAATAAATAGATTTATTTATAATCTACTTTTCTGTTTTGTAATGTTTACATCGCATATGGTATACCCTGTAAGAGAAAACTCTGTATGTGAGGTACTTATTCTGTCTCTTTATGTCATTTTCAGCCTCTGATATACTGTATAACTTTAAAGAACGACGTAGGAATAGTATAAACAGGAACTTTGTCGGCGATTACCTTGGCATGGAAGAGAGACCTGAACTCCGGCAGTTCATGGCCAAGAGGGAGCGAGTCGACTTTGCAGACTCGGTCAACAAGTTTGACCGTAGGTTCAAGGTGAGAAACTAATAAGCAAAAATGATGTGTAAAGTTTAAAAGTTTGGAGTTGATCATTTTATTTTTATGTTTCTGAAAGAAGTCTCCAGAAAACTTATTAATTTTTAATGTAAACAGATTATTATTAATGTTGAAAACAGTTGTGCTGCTTAGTGTTTTTGTGGAAGCAGTGATTAATTTTTCAGGATTCTTGTGTAAATAAAAAGTTCAAAAGAACAGCAATTATTTCGAATATGTTAAATAAGGGCATAAATAAGCTACAATTATTTCTCGCTGTTTTTTTAGTCTATCAAGAGGGATTTGATACTGTCACCGAAATCCATCTATCTAATCGGTCGCGAAACGATAAAGAAAGGACCAGAGAAAGGCCAGATAAAGGAAGTTCTGAAAAGAAAGCTGGACATTGGAAGTGTCCGTTCAATCTCTTTGAGGTAAGTTGCTGCTTCATATCGCTTGTTTTACAGGTATATAGTGTATGCTGGTGCCATATAAATCAATGTATATATATTTGTTTAAGAAACACATGCATTATTGTGACCACAAACAAAAGGGTGGATTCTTAGTCTAAGAATACAGTGGCATTTTTGTAGCAATTACACATTGCTTGTTTAACAAAGGACAGCTATGAAGATGATTTGTAAATGTGTAAATGAAGAGTTCATTTGCAAAAACAGATATTTCAAAATTCATGTTTTTTCATTGTGCGTTCCAGTTAATCTCAATCAAACTGCAGTTGGGTTATTTGGATTAGGTAAAAAATTACTTAAAAATACAGTTATCTGTTTTTGCAAATAAACTCTTCAAATATTCAACTTGTAAAAATCTCAATCGCATATCCCAAAAGGCATTACACATTTAGCAACAATCAGCTAGATGTACACCTGTTTGTGAAAATCATTGTCTGTTATTTATACTCTGTATTTTGCTCTCTGGGCCTGAGCAAATGTGATAAAGCTGTTCATTTATACTGTGTCTACTTTGTACACAATAATGCTTACATGCAGATTTATTACTGTGTGACACAAACAAGCTGCCAGACCACCACTGCTGCTACAGCAGAAGAGCTTATACGGAAGTTCTGCGGGGTCAAACTATTTGCAAAGTGCAAAAAGGAAATTAGCAAACAGGAAATGAGTTCATATTTATGGCAGCTCGGTTCTTGTTTTCTGCCTTATATGTCATGTCTGAGAGAGAATGAAAGCGGTTTTGAACAAGAGGGAGAGGGATGGTGATTGTCTCATGATGATGATTAATGATGATATATCAAAGACGTATGAAGATAATGTGAAAATCAATTACACATTAGTCAATAACAGCATTTTCTGTGCTTTGATATTTCATCAGTCATGCCCTCTCTCATCTCCTCTCCTCGCCTCTTCTGTCCTTAATTGCTCATAATTCTTCTTCTTCTTCAGTGTGTAAGTTTGAGCTGTGCACACAAGTGATGAGAAAATGTCATTTGTTTGATTTAATTTATATATACATTTGCTGCTAGGTTTTCCTTGACATGGTTTCTTCATAATCACACCCAGAACTCTTTATATCTTTTATACTTAAAAATGATTATACTGAATGGTATCTATTTATAAAAAAAAAGTTCAAAGGAACACAATTCTGTTTTGGTATCGAAGGAGGCTTACAGATGGGGCTGTATGGGATTTTTTTAATGTTTTTGAAAAAATCTCTTATACTATATTGCTTAAAAAAACAACAGTAACATGAAAAATTACTACAATTTAAAAGAACTGTTTTCTATTTTAATATTTTTTT